ATTTCTGTATAAACTGTTTATACTGTATTACCACCGCAGTGGTCTATGCAATTGTTAACAGACAACGTTTCTTCCAAAGATGTTAACAAGTGTGCTGCACTGTATTACCACCCAGTGGGGTTTTTTTTAGCTCTGTGTTAGGAGGAAAGCAAACTTTTTGCCTAGAGAATTAGCAGAACGATAATGACGTTTACTTCTGTCATATGCAGCTTTCTTCATAAACAAGAGATTATGGAAATAAAAAAAAATCTCTACTGTTTAGCTTGGCTATCCCCGACAGCGACTTTGCAAGAGCTTCTCAAATGGAAAAGCAGATGTTGCAAATCTGCCTTATCTACGGAGCAACTGTTGACTCTGTTGTGCAAATCCTAATTTACATCTGCATGAAAGGTTTCAGAGATTAAATGGCATTCAAGGAGGAATATTAGCTTTTCTCCCTCCAGCCCTCCTTTGAATAGATTTACTACTGGCAATTAGCTTTCTGTTCCACCGGCCAAGTAGAAAACAGGATTCATCAGGACTCTACAGTATCCTCCTTTTAATGGACTGTTTTCTCAAATCACCCAATTCAGATGCTGAGAGTTAGAAAAAGAAATCGTCACAAAGCTAAAATAGTTACAAAAACACTTTGGCCAGGAGGATTTCCCTGTGGCACTCCGAAAGCCCTGAGGAGGACAAAAAACAACCCACCAGAGAACAAATCAAATGGGTCTCCTGGCTACACCTAACAAAAATGGAAATGCAAAACCCAAGAGACACAAAGCTTTGGTTGCTGCTGAGAGCCCAGAGCCTGTCCCAAGGACAGCCTTCAGCTGGGGCTTCGCTGGCTTAAAGGAACAGGCAGCGATGGGGTTTTCCTCAAAATCTGGCCAGACTGTGCTATCAAACACTTTCCTTGGTTCCCTACTCAAAACACAAAAGAGGGAAGCAACCACCACCCGTATCTATCTATCTCACAGTTCTGCACTCCATTTTTTTTTAACAGAAATAAAAGAACTGATATGAAATGTCCTCCACTTCTTCACCAATGGTCCCTAAAGACAGGGAGCAGCGGAGCGGAGGTCCCCAGGCTCTGCTACTCTGTGTGTCCTATGAGAGCTCCTGGCTTGTGCTGAAGCACCTCAAGGATGCCCATGCAGGTGATTCCTGCTCTCCCAGGTGCCGAAGCCTTTGTGCTTTACTCGAGAGGAGGACAGCAATGAGCTGTATCAGATCTCAGCAGCCCACGCTTGTGGCCGGGATGACACCAGTCCCAGCCTGGCATGCGGGTGAGTGCATCCTTGCAGCTGGTTTGCCCACATCCTTGGTGGGCAAACCTTATCTGGTTTCACACAGCCCACCTCACCCAACTGCGGTGGCCAAACGTGGTCAACCCAGACCGCTCCCTACTCGAGCCAGAGTGATGGGACACCCATTGGGCTGATCCTAGGCAGAGCACAAGAGACTGTGCCGATGGGTCATTGTCCTTTTGGTGTCTGCCTCTTGTTGCCTTTGAAGAACGGTGGCCAACGTGGCCCCAGATTTGCACAGCACAGCAGGGGCATCCCAGCTTGATCTTGACAGACAGATCCCACCACAAAATGGCTGATGTTTTACATTGCTGCTCCTCATGCCTGAGGAAGTCCAAAAAAACCTCATCGTTGCAGCAAGCAAGCAACCGCCACAACCTCTTTTCGAAGCCAGCAGAGGCAGCTACGGAAACTGAGGCAAAGACTGAGGCTTCCCAGCATCCCAACGGACTGAGCAAAGCTTGTCCCCAGCCTCCGTCAGAGCAGGATGGGA